ATAATATAAAATAATTCTATTTAATAATATAATATTCAATAATTCTGTGTAATAATATAACAATTTACAATAATATAATATAATTCTATTTAATAATTTAAAAATTAAAATAGCATTAAGTATAATTCTGCAATAAGATTGGTTGTTCTCATTATTGTTGGAAACGAAAATCTCGAATTTATAATCGATTTGAGATTAAAATATTTTACATTTATTATTATTTAAGTGCGGAAGAAAATTCGTTAAATAGTTTAGAGTATACAAATCAATTTATTGTAGATATATCATTGTATACTCATGTGCGACCATTTGGAAAAATAAAAAGTAAACGAACATGATATATATCGACATTGATAAATTTGGTCAATTTCACATCCTCCCAGATTGCTTTCCTTTGATTAAGGCACTGTATTCTTTCACATTGCGTTCTCTTAATATGATCACTGCGTGTGTTGAGCTGGATCGATAGCATGAGGTGCTTTGACATCCGTCTTTTAATCACGAAGAGTAAAAAATGTGGCAATACACGAACCGAAAAATCAATTATCACGGTAGAATAATTAGGTTTCTATCTGTGTCGTAGATAGGTGAGCCACGCGGCGCTAATAACACTAATTGTACCGGCGGCTGGTGCTTCCATTAAAAAGCTTACCCATCCGACGACAAAGGTTGAGGACATTTTAAGTTTTCATTTCTCGCGACGTGAAAATATGTCGAGCGATATTTATTCACTTTTATAAACATACCTGTGTATTCGTTTTGCGGAAATTTCGATGAGTATATTGGTGAATTATAAAACTTTCTTTTGATTATCTTAACGTGATATTAAACATAAATACTTGCTATTATTACGCTCTATTTGAGAAACAATTCCTTTTCCTTAGCATATGAGCATTATTTCTAATCATTCATTATTCGTGGAGTTTATTCAAGGCAGTATTATAAATTCGCTAAATATATAAATGTTATTTATACATATTGTATTTAACTCAAATTATGTCATAACTAAAAAAAAATTTGCATTTACTTTTATCTAAAGAATGTTTATCTAAAGAAAATTATTAATTTTTATTTAATCATAAATCATTAAAGAGAACAATAAGAATTAAGATGTCAGAAACATTCTAATAACATGTTAATAATTAAAAGTTAAAAAAAATAACGAGTAATATAAAATTAAAAAACTCTCTTGCGATATTTTCTGTCAATTTTTCAAATTGACAAAAAATTTCACTGTACGACTAGAGATTCAAATTGAAGACTTCTGTATACGAATTAAAAGGAATTGAAAATGGGAGGCGTTATAATGTGAGGTAGCAAGAAAAAAGATCGCAAGATCGAAGATTACTGAAAAAATACCATTTATTTTCTATTAAAATTATAATTCTTACATCCTATTAGCGAATTAAACAGCAAACGGACTCTCGTCAGCCGAAGAAGGCATCGTCGCCGGAGCCCTCGGGTGTGCAGTTCTGTAGCAATGACGCCGGATTCGCCATGTCGCTGACGTCGCCGCCAACGACGCCATTGCCGCCGTTACCGGCGCGCAGGGGTTTCACATCTTGGCCCTGTGAGGAAGCGTCGTAGATACCACGACCTGCGGTTTGCTGCTGCTGTTGATTTTGCGAATTGATTTCATTGTAGACCAACTCCTGGATCTTGAGACGAACAAACATCTGCCTATCGAGCGGCAGGCTTCTCAGGGGATTTCGTACGCTCATGAGAAAGTGGTAGGTGTCGTCCTCGTCCTCCGGACCGATCGCCAGTCTCTTCTGCAGTGATTCATATCGCTTTCGATCCACTTCCACACCGTAATCGTTTTCGATCGCGTCCATTAATGCTCGTTTCCGACTGATTATCTTGTTCATCTTTGGCGGCGGCATCACCTGATGCAAGCCATCATCGTTGGATAGCAATGACTGGCAAGAGTCACCATCCAAGTCATCGAACTGAGTCTCCTCGTGGCCCTCAAGAATGTCGATCTGCGGTTCGATCTGCGTGCCATCCGGCGAGGAACGCATCCCGACCGCACCAACGCAGTTTTGTGACAGAGCGCAGCCGATTACCCTTGAGTTCATTTGGTCCCGCAAGAAGAATAGGCTCTTGAACCAGACCCACTTAGAGTCGTGCTCGGTGCCGCCGATACCGTCGCACTTACCCCGATAGGTCTTTTTCAGCTCGTTTCGAAAGTTGTCGCGCAGATGTTTCCATTTGGACTTGGCGACATCCGCTGGAACAGAGCGATGATCACGTCTTTACATGACTCAGAAAGAGCCATCGATAATGAACGTATGATAATGAAACTATTTAGTCTGTACTAAAGTCTATTATTGTAGCAGAACAACAGGTCACGATAATGTCAAACTGATTGAAAAAAATGCCTTTTAATAATTCTGGAGCCATTTTGATGTCATTGTGACTTTTTGTTCCGCTCGGATACTACCTATTCCGAAAACTCGAAAATTGTATCCTTAATATTCCTTTTCCAAAATTTAGCTGCTACTCGTTAAACTCTTAATTTAGTACACGAAATGTTAGAAAATCAAATATATACGCAAAAATCATAAGCGCCCAAAAAAAAGGTTTCTTTTAATTCAAAGAAATGTTTCAATAAATATTATACAGTTAAAAAAAAATATCTTCGATTTTAACGTCATTTCTTTGATTTGAATATAAAATCAAATAAATTATTTTATTTAATTTCAAAAGAAAATGTTTAAATCAAAGAAATGACGTTCAAATCAAAGAAATTTTTTTTTAACCGTATAGCAAAGAAATAGTTCTTTGAATCGAAGAAACCTTTCTCTGGACACATATAAAACTAAAATCGCTACGTTTCATGTCGTAATTCTAATTAAAATAATAAGCATTTATGGCAAAGAATCTATCGAATTCGATTTATTCATTTCCATCATTTCGGCATATCTAAGCATATTTTAATTTACAACTATTCTCACGACGCGCTTCGTAAAAGAAACATCTGCTTCATTCTTTCCCAGAGTATTGTCCTACAATCGACATTACTTTCGATTGTCGTGATAGACGTGTTTGCATTCCGCGCGCACGTGCTACCGCGAGCAATTGCGTTGTACACATGTACATACATACATCTTCGCGGAAAAAAAGGGAAAAAAGAGATCCGTGCCAGAGTCCATCGTGCGGTATCGACGTGCAACCTGGCGGAGATCCGTGTGAACTAGCAGTCTATCTCTCTGGCTGGCCTCTCCTTTCGCGAGCTATCGACCTTCCAGAGACGAGCGTGGTTCCAACGAGTGGTTCGCGCTCGCGTTTGATTTGGTGACCGCCCGGCCTGGCCCGGGTCCATTCCGCAATCGCGGCGACCCGTTCCTTCATCTCTCCTTCTCTTTCTCTATTTCCTCCTCCATCTCATCAGCCTTCGTCTTTTAATTCATATTACGCACAGCGAGATATCTCGAACGACCTCAGGGTCGCGAAACTCAACAATCATACGAACATCGTACAAACCAATCTACGTACCCAGCGTATCCCACCCACCCATCGAGCGGCCAACCAATCTCGCCGACCAGCGACCAACGCACACGTGCGTGGCAACACGTACACGCAAAATACTATATACATATATATATATATATA